AAGATGAAAAGGATAATAAATGAAATATTCCATACTGGTAACCAAGAATACCTCTCTGTGTTGAAAAAGCCACCTGGAAGGGTGAAAGGGAGGCACATGAGCAGCATCAACAGTCCTAATGAACACCTTAGTCATATTAGCAACAAGAGACAGGTGAAAGCCTGTAAAAGGCCCCATATATTTTGCTCAGCTGCATGATTCTCCCTTGTGTACATTTTTGTGTGTGTGTGTGGATTTAGGAATCCAGCTCTGCATTAGCACCTGGTCTACCGCATGTTCCCAGGCACAGCATAGGAGCTGCCATGCAACTGTGCCTCTTCTATTTTCCCCTTTGCTAGAACAGCTTCTTCCATCCCTGATGTGAAGGACTAAGTCATAATTAATCCCACTGAGACATGGCATCTTTCTAGTGATTTCATCAGCTTTGGATCTGGACTGATCAGCGATGACAGAGGAGCAGCGAAGCACAAATAAACACTCTACCTGACCTAAGTCTTGTTGGATGGAAATACATTTTAGTGTCTTCTGAGGTACATCAGTACCAGGTTAGTGCCATGGCTTTGAATCATGCAGGGAAATTAAATGCATGCATAGCCAGACTTTAAAAAACCCAGTTAAAATACATTTCTTTCTGTCTTCCTTCAGCACCCTGCGAAGCAGAGCTCTGAACTCTGCACTGGGCTGGGCACTCACAAAACAAAGCCCTGTCTGAGCACTTAGAAGAAGCAGGCATCGCTTGGTAGCAGCCTTTCCCCCCGACATCTGTGAGTACAGCCCCTGCCTGGCACATCAGCCCTGCAGAAAGCAGGCTGGCACAGCTGCCCCCAGGCTTTGATCCAAGGCTGAGGATATTAAGGATGTCTCTGTACTCTCTACAGGAAATTTAGGATCAAACCAGTTTCGCATCAGAGCTACGGCCCTGCTTGCAATGCATTGTTGTGCTCTCCGCCCGTGCCAGGACACCGTGAGGTACAGCCTGAACCATCTGACTTGCTATCTGTTCTGCTACAGAGAGGAAGGGTGCTTTCAGGTAGATTAATTTCCTCTTTTTTATTAAAACTCTCTGTAAAGTAAAATACCAAATTAAATCAATTTTTGTTTTATTAGGAAGGCTGTTGCTAATAATTCTTAATTTTTTCTGCAGAGACAGCAATGGGAATGGTTTACTACAATACCTGCACCATAGCTAGGTTTAAGAATATGTTCCTAGTGAAAGCAGTTGGATTAAACAACAGGTAAGCAAAACGAACAACAGCTCGTATCAAATATCTGCACAGTCAGAAAACATTGTCTCCAGGTAAAACCTTGTTATGCTATAGCACAATACCGCCTTTTCATGAAACAGAACGTTCTTCTGGTTTTCCTCAGTCCTGTCAGAAACATGACTATTTCTCTTCTTTTAACTCTTCAAGAGACAGAGACTGACAGCAGAGTATAGGGAGGAAACTAAAGGTCACATCAAAAGGGAAGAAAGACAACGAACACAGTTGGCAGTATGATCAATTGCAATTTCTTTTTTTCTCTTTTGATGGATGTTTCCCTTCTCATGGGCTGAAGCACAACGAGAGATGATCATGTGTTCCTGACTCTAAGTTGGCTCTTTACTAGTTGAAGGACTGTTTTATTAGCCCTGTAGACCAGACCACATTGCTGATGCCTTCTCCATACTTTTCCCTCCTCTGTGTCTTTCCCACCATATTCCAAGTACATCAAAGGGGGAATACAGCTATCCTCCAGGATTCTGTCACTGCACAGATGTAAATGCACTGCAACCTGCTGTCAAAGCACTTTCTGAAAAAGCACCACTTAGAACACAGTTGCTCCTGTCACCCCTGGGGGGCAATCACAGCAGAAAGTGGTCCCAGGCAGATGAGGGCCTATCTATCAGATGGGCTGCAGGACACACAAAAGTCAGCAATGTTTATTTGAGCTTGGATCTTTAATTTTATGGAAGGATAATTAAGAGACAGAAAATTTAGTGTTTCAGGGATCTTTTAGGGGGTGGTATTTGTAAACACTGTACACAATAGTCTGCAAGATTCTCTAGGAAGACATACAGAGGCATGTGTCACCCTCATCATGTTTTACATTGGTTTTGCTAGGAGACAATCAGCTAATCCACTGCTATCTGCATCCCACAGTGAAGTGGGAATGTAGAATTACTGCCTTTGCCAGCCACTTAATCTGTCAGCTTCAGAGCACTGGCAGAAGATAAACTTTCTCTTCTTACTGCTTCAAAACACACAAAAATGTAACAGCAATCATGAAAGCCTGGTGCTTCAGAATAGACATCCTTTTAGGGAATGACAGAAGTCTCTAGTTTAAAGGGAAGAAGCTCAAACCAATTACTTGCTGCACTTTTATTTCCCTTTTCAAGGCAGGCAGTCCATTATACTCATACAACAGGCTAAGCAAATGCTAATGCATTCTTGCTCTCCTGAATGGCATCAGAACAATTTGGTCAGCACTTTCATCCTGGAAAATCTTAAGAGCACCGGAAAAGCATTAAAAAGCAAACTCTATATTCCTTCAACCATTCAGGTTCTGCAATGGAACAATCTTGTTCATTCTTCTTTGTTACACAGAAACATTAAGCAACAGCTAGAACTGTAAATGAAAATTATCAGATCAGTTGCACCTGAAGTATTGTGGAGGTGGTTTGTTGAGGCTTTGGTTTAATGCAACTGCCAAGATGGGATAAATAGCAATGAAGGCTGGCAGAATGACTCAGCCAAACACACACACGGAGCCAGTGAAGTGGATATATTGCACTGCTGCCCATCTGTTCGCAGCACAGAGCTGCCTGCTTCTGGAGTCCGAAGCTAAGACTGTGACCATCACAAGGTAATGTGATGGCCAAAGCCCAAACCAGTGGCTCCAGTCTCTCAAATCAAGGGGTCCAGCAACAGCGCTCTGCTTACCTCCAGCTGTCCCCGTGTTGTTCTTGTCTGTTTTAGTGGCTGGACTGAGTGTCCCACTGTCCACGTACTGTGTGTTTCCTGCCAATTCAACTCACCTTCACCCATAGCAACCACTGGTTATTCCTCTGGGTGGGACTAGGGCTCTGCAGGCTAGATAGACCAGAAAAAAAACAGTCCTCAAAAAAAAGAGAAATTACATTTTCACTTACAGTGATATGTACTGTGGTACCATGGCACCACATGCCTGTTTCTGATGCAGCCAGTGCTTTGAGACAGAACAGACAGAAACTCCCTCAGTGCAGATTTGGCATGATCTTTATTTATACGTAGCACTTGAAATGGTTATATTTGGGAAACAGGGGAACAACAGCCAGTGGGAGTACACAATTTGCAGTGATCCATACCACACAGACCCCACTGACTGAACACTACAGAGTTCCACAGTGATTTGAAAGGGAAGAATCATGCAACATGCTACCATGCTCCTCCCTACCTGCCATACATTCTCACATATGCTGTCCTTTTCACTCAGCTGCAATTTACAGCATGTCATATGACAGAAGATCTGTGGTATTACTGAAGTCGAGGGAGATCCAGTTGACTTAACTAAGCGTCAGTTCAGGCCCTGTGGGAGTTGTGCAGAATCACTAGAGGGAACACAGCCGGGGTTTCCCTTCGCTGCAGGTTTGGACACACAGCCCCTCTCTAGGGAGCAGGTTGCAGTTGCCCCACACACCGCTCTGGGTAGTGCAGATCCCATATTCAGCACATCAGGCTCCCCAGACACCATCTTGCTGCAATACTTGCATTTTCATGAGGGCCAGTCAGTCTCTAGCCCACTCAGTCCTTGTTTCATACAGAGAATAGAACACAGTGCCAGTGCTGAAATGGCTCCTAGGTCCTCCAGATGTCCAGCCTTATTGGAGCACCAAAAGATTCATAGCATCCAGCAGTCAGTTTGAGCCTTTCCTGTTCTCCACTCAACTGCAGCACTAGCCCTAAATCTAGGTATCTGTGACCCACAGAAAAGAAGACATTATATACTCTCCTTCGCAGGCCTAAGCTCTTGGCCCAGATCTGGGAGAACTTGTAGTGCTCAGCAGCCACCATAAGTCTTCAGCCCCTCCTGCCAGGAATCCTAAAACTGACCTGAGCCCTCAGCCAGATTTAGCCCCAGATGAAACAATCTGACCACAGGATAAAGGACAAGGAGCTATTTTCTGGTTAATAACCATCAGTCACTACCAGAGAAGCACATTTCAGATCAGCAGCTGGCCGGGAAAAGACACAAAGGTCAGCATTTGTTTCCATAGCCAACTCAGTGACCTGACTCAGGAACAATTAAAGGAACATAAACACTGCTACAGACTACAGGAAAGAGGGATTGCTAAATGGGGGAAGAATATCCGATGTATAGGAAAGTGGTGGCATCACAGGGGCAGTAACCTACAGACACCTTTGCAAGAGGTTAGAAACACTGGCAGTCCAACACTTGGGAAAACCACAGTTGCTTCCTCTTGGCTGGTTGCTTTGAAGGCTGCCTTTCCCAAAGAGACCTCTCCAAGGCAGGTAGCAAAATCAGCGGCCACTCCCACCAGTTTAATCTTCTACACAGGTACTCCGTGTCCCATTTGACAGCATGTTGTGCCTCACGACTGGAAACAGTGCTGTGCTCTGAATACAATGGGCACTGGGAGGAGTCTTGCAGAGCCGCGGAGGAATGACACGCCAAGATAGATTCAATGTGGGTGATAGAGCATCATATATTGTATCCCTTTATTGGTCCAGGGTACATATATTTATACAGACAACGATAATTATTATGCCTACTAGTCACTAGCTGGTTGGCTTAAGCTCTAAAGGTCGTATTCGCATGGTCCACCTACTTGCAGTTAGCTAACAGCACAAGCTTCTCATAACACTAAATTTCTCATGCCACGATTTCTAATTCCTCTTAACCTGTTTTCGACACACCACGGTACACAAGGCCGAAGCGTCCTTGACATTCTTCATGTATCAGCAGCTGCGAGCAGCTGCAGGCAAACCCTAGTGGGGCCTAGCATCAGCAAGGCCCAGCATCAGCCCCTAGAACAGGCTCTGATCATACAACTGCTCGATGGGCTCATGACCCTTGTCTCTGAGCCATTCTCCAACAGAGTCCCTGTTCTTTTCAGGGCTGAACGTTGTCTTTACCATCAAGGACTTGTGTTCTCTGTATTTCCTTCATGGTGGGCAGAATCCTACCCACTTACAAAGCTGTAGGAGATGGCTCCTTAACGCATCTTCCTTCCTCTCACACCTAGGTACTACACAGCCTTCATCTGCAGAGACCTCAGGATGGTGATTCTGGGAGGTGATGGTGGGGAGGGACAGGGCAAGGGGAAAAGGATGCTGGCTAGGGCAGGTCCCCTTGTGCTGCAAACTCACACCCAGGCCTTGACTTGAGTGTTCCACCCCTTGGCACAGCTGCACAGGCCTCCTTCCTCATACCAGCGCCACTTCACCCCCTTGTACACAGCCCTGCTGTATGGCTGGAAGCACATGAAGAGACGGAGCCTCCTTGCCAGGCTGCAGTAGATAGCCATGGCCACCACAATGAGAGGGGACATGATGACGAAGCCAAGGATAATGAGGGCAGAAGAGCTGTTGTCATCCAAGATGCTTTTGCAGTAACGGGCAGCTGAGTGCAACACCTGTGGGAAGAGTGAGATAGAGCTCGTCACAGACCTGGTGGTGGGTAGGAGTAGTGACCAAAGTACCCTTGAGTTTGTAGTGCTTTCACAGAATAACACACCTCTTCCCTCTCTCCGAGATGAGCTTGGAAATCTTCAGGCTACACTATATGAATGACAACGCATTTTAATCAAGCTTTCAATTGTTCCAGCATTACTGAGACAAGAGCACTGCACACTGATCCTGAAGCAGGAAATACAAATTTTTATTAAAGCATCAGAATAGTACAGTTTAGCGTTTGATAGTCAGAAGCCACATAAAAAGGCCTTCTGCTGCTACATCAATGTGGGTGGCACAGCACACTGGAAATTATAACAAAGTAAATAAAATACAGCAAGATGTTAGATTCTGCAGACAGAGGTTGGTCATTCCATAGCTACCCACCGGCTGGAGACTATCCAGATTCCTGCCCTGGAACAGACCCACTTATATTCTAGTCTGTCTTCTAAAGTACACACTGTACTCACTCCTGCCTCCTAGCATCTCTCTGCACTGCTAAGGCTGCCAGAAAAGCCCATTCACCCCATGTTGCTGCAAAGCATCCGGCACACTAACTGGGCCTTGCTGAGTGGTATTTCAAGCCCTCCTTTCATCCTGGTAGCAGGAGATCCAAATCAAGCCACTCAGTTCTGCATTAACAAATGCTACAGGCAATCTCCATGTCCCATAGCCTCCTTTTCTTTTTCTGTATTCCTTCAGCAGTACAAGAAACACAACCCATCAACCCACTAAAAAAAAAAAAAAAAAGAAAATCTATCTATCTAATGGATTTGCAGTGCAGAAATCAGCCTCTGGCTACTAGGAAGGCATTGAAAAGTAGTAGCCCAAAGACAAAGGACTGCTCTTGTCAAGATGTGCTGCTGCAATCCCTCTCTATGCCTATTAAAGTCTGTGTTAAAAGACTCCTTACAGACAACAGCAACACCATTGCTTTCACTTCTGATGCACTTAGTTGTACTCAAAAACTTCTTACATTTCCTCAAAACCTTCAACTGGAGAGCATGGCGTGTGCAGAGGAGAACAAAGGCTTTACAGGCAACCTAGTAAATCTACCCTGGAAAGCTTCATGCCTTACAGAATCAGTATCCACACTGCACTTGGAGGCAGAGGAATCATTTTACCAAAGCAATGGCCCACATAGCACTTCCTCCCAAAGCAAATTTATCAGGTTATTTCTTGTGAAGACGTACTCTTCAATAGAACAACAGTCATTCTATTCACCTGCCCTTTTGTATGTGAAAATCCTAACAGCCATGGACTGTAAGAGGAGTGCTGCAGCCCACAATGAAGCAGCACTGCATGATTATTCAAGTAGCCATTTTTTCTCTCTGCAGGCCCTCCAGAGGTTCACTCCAACTAGCAGCAGCACTTGTGTTTGCCCTGTTCTAACAAACAGTTACCATGACAGATGTCTCCCTGTTCATTAGTTTGCAGGATCAGGAAAAGCTTTTCAATAACAGCAGCTACAAGCAGTCATTATTTCAGGGCAGTAAAAATCAAAGCCAAACTCCACAGACCAGTAAATACATCAGTACTGAGAAAACAGGAACATCACAGTCCCTTTGTTGGGGAGCTTTGAGACAGGGAGCTGTGGGCTGACTACTCATGTTGGTGGGACGCCAGCTGAAAAATACAATGCAGTGGCTGTATTGGAAAGTTACAGCACATCCCCCAAAGCTATAAATGCTTGCAGTCAACAGCATGTCTTAGCATGCTGCTGTGTCCCACGGTTTAGATGCCTCAAGTGAGCAAACTAAGATTCCACCTACAGAACAAGCACCTTTACCACACATACACAGCTCCTCAGCGTAAATATCACTGGCATTAAAAGTGCTGTCAAAGGAGCAATTCTCCCAGAGCTGAGTGACTTCTGGGAAACATGATTTTACACTTCAGCTAGGCAGAGGGGGTCTCTCCTCCTTCACTGTGGAGGGAGACCCCCTATATCTATGAACAGGTCCAGAGAAGTCAGAAGAGCCTTACTGGGTTAAACTGGGCAAATGGCTGACCCCTGCTACACAGTTGGATCTCTTCCTACCACCCATGCTAGGATATGCTCACTCAGAAGTCCCAAGGACTTGGGTGATTAGATAGGATGCACAGATTTCATTAAAAGGAAGGGGAAAAGCTTTCTTCTTTTGATATTTCTCAGGTAAATACATCAGTTTGAGAATATTTAAATAATCTTCCCTTTAGATCAGATTCTGTGGAATGGGGACACCAAGCGCATCTGTATTTTCAGACAATTCTCCCTTCTGGGAGAAGGTGTGGGTTTTTTCCCCAAAGTAGAAAGTAAAGGAACTCTTCTAACTTAGGATAATCAGCAAGAGAAGTCATACTGAGCTGGACTAACAGTTACTGCCTGTGAGGAAAACAGGATAACTACTTTTTCACATCCATACTTAGTCAAGTGATTCTGAAAATATTTATAGAAATATACCAAGAAGAAATTTATAAGTACAGAAATGATGACATCCAGAGGACATCAACCAACTGGAACTGACATGCACACAGCCAGAGCCCTTACTGACAAAACAGACTAATTTCTTGGTGTGAGAAACTGTACAGCACATTTGGGAACACAACTGAATGTTAGATTGGCATAAGAAGGGGATTATATATTCTGTTAGACTTTATTAGTTCTATAATTAGTCATTAGACAGATCAAATATAACAAACACTGTAGAGGACTGACTTCAATGAAAAGTAACAAACCCTATCAGAGCCCACACAGGACTTGAGTGAAATACGGAAGAGTTTGGGTTGGCAGCACTCAGTAACAGAGGTCACAGAAAAGAGATAAATATTGTGACATTAAAATGCAAACAGCAACTCTGTCAAGCCAGGGAGTGTATTCACCTGACCTCACATAGCTGCTTGTTATTTTCATGGGAATACAGCTTTATTGCCCAATCAAGCTTTCATTTCTCACAATATTAGAAGAAGGAGTAAAAATGTATCTTGCTCATTCCTACCAGCACTCAGGCGTACCCACAAGATTGGCATCTCATGCAAGCTTGCTGTGAAATGCTGTAGATTTATCTCTGATCACTTTAAGCAACTGTACAAAGTGCAGTGCACAGGCAAACAAGACCACAGGGTCCCTTTCTATCTCAGTCCCCTGCACGTTCTGTCAGTGTTCTCCCTGACTCTCCAGTGAGCCTTTCTGTGCTAACCCACTGACACCGAATGTATGGGTGCCAACCAACTGCTTCAAGGCAGTAAGTCCAGAAACAATAAAGCCTGTACTTCTCTAGACAAATGCACATGCCAGCCTTGCCTACAGCTGTGCCACAGGCACCAAGGAGGGACCGCTCTGCTGTACAACCAAGAGCCTGCAGGTCAGCACAAACTGCCATAAACCTGTTCTTCTAAGCCCAGTCTATACACATACCTTATGAGAAAATCTCTCCCACACACCTTATGAGAAGATCTATACATGTACACATCCCTTATGAAAACAAAGCCAAAGACTGGGGAAGCTATCCTTGCCTTTACAGCCACTGTTCCCATGGGCTAAAATAAAACCCTTATGGATGGCCCTGCCTTAGAGGTGGCTGCTAGCAGCCAAATGCAGCAAGGCTTACTTACCCGAGAGTGGCACTGGAAGCCAAAGTAAACCACCACAATGGTAGGAAGCAGCACAATGGTGAAGATAACAAACAGCAGAAGCAAATTCGTTAAAAAAACCAGGGAGTTCATGGTGCCTACTACCAGGGTCCATGCCAAGCAGCACCAGGCACTCCGTGGCTCCCTGGGAAGGAGCTGGTCATCAATGTCATACGGTGGGAGGCTAGGAATCATCTGAGACTTCTCTGAGAGGTTTTCTGCTCCAAAGTCCTCAGTGTCCTGGCCAGACATTCTTCAAAATGATTGCTAATCAACCCACTCTCCTATCCAAAATAGGGTTTTTTTGCTTTTGGCAACAGAACTAAGTAATTTGCAGAGGCTTTTTCTGCCTCTTCCACACATGGACAAGAACACTTAACCAGAGATCATAATGAAGCAATATAGGAAAGGCCTCTTGTCCACCTGCTACCCCAGGACCTGGCCAGCACAGGTTGCTTCCTCTCAGAATGTTTTCCAGCAGTGTTCCAACCTCAGTTTCAAGGTATTCAAGGTAAATGTGGCTGCTCCAAGTCTGGCAATAGCTATTATTTTGCTTCTGAATCCATAGTACTCCTGAATTTGTTGTTCTTCCTAGGGTGATGATCCCACAAGGTCTCAAACAGTTGTTGTCTTCGCTTTGATAGGCTGCTAGGTTCCAGAGAGTGCCTAGCGTTAGTATCCTCCTGCACCTTTGAGTACTGTTGCTTGCTGAGGGTATCGGTCTTAGGCACTTTCAGGTAGTTCCTTGACTTCAAATCATCTTTCCATGCTCTTCACCTTGCACCCACGTAAATATTTCTGCTCAACTCTCATCCAAATGAAGCGACCAGTGAAGATAACGAAGAGCAGCTGTTTCTCCACTCTGCCTTGCTGGAGTTCTTGCCCACACCTTGCAGAGCTGGAAGCAAAGACTGGAGCAGCGTGTGGTTCCCCTGCTCTCAGCTGCCTGCAGTCACAGGCACTCAAATACAAGCAGTGTCTTCCTTTCTGAGCTGACTCTCAGAGCTTTGCAACACTGCTCTGTTTACAGAGTAGATTCTGAAGCTGCTTTCTGTGCTAGCCAATCCTTTACATCTGCCTCACTACTGAAATGATTTAGCACACAGCACCCAAGAGCCATGCTCAAACCATATATCCCCAGGCCAAGACAGTCCTTTTTCAATTTTAATTATTCTGCCTCTGATTAATTTTCTACAATTTCTCTCTAGATCAAAAAAACCTTAGAGAAACTGATAAAAACCACTATATACCTCAGAAATCTTTTGTTCTCTGCAGTCATCACTGTTATTGTTTGCAGAACATACTGATATTCTTGTAATGAAGGTACAGCAATTATTAATTATTTCATCTGCCTCATATTATCAATATTATTTAAGAATTTCAGTGATATCTGCACATTTATGTAGACTTTTACATACATTCATATATGCATGATCATAGTACTGCAGGAGGGAGAAAACTTCCTTAACTCCAGAGGAAACTGAGGTAGCACAGGTCTTACCAGAAGGCACAGCTCATCTATGGCACAAGTCAGGGAAAGAATCCATGAGTCCTGTGTTCCACATGATAATGTTTCTCTCAGAAAATTCTGCCCTAGAAAAAGGTTATCAGAAAAAAAGAGGTTCACACAATGCTAAGTGTAAAGTGATTTTGTAATACAGATGAGTGCTAGCTTTCCTTCATTAAATGCTTCTGTTACAAAAGAAAAGTGTATTTTGGGTGCCCATCCCCCTGCCATTGTTGGGTCTTTTGGTATGTTTATCTACCTTAGTTACTGGCCAGCTGTAGCAATATGTACAGCAGAATTAAAGCTAAGACAGTTTTCTCCAAGGACTAGGACAGACCTGCTCATGCAGCATTTACTGATGGCCCATTACAAGAGCTCTACCAGATGATAAGTTAGGGCTAGCAGACCTCGGGGCAGCTGCATCGCAAACGTACCATGGCTTAGCAGCTTCTCAAAGTCATGCCACAAGGAAAGGTGATGAAAGCAACACAAATGCAATATCCAGCCTCAGTATTCATCACTCACGGGTGAAGCACAGCTATCAATTCCTGGTATTGCTTTTAAGCGAAGTTAGGCTCCATCGTGCCAGGCACTCCATACACACTGACTGAGCGCACAGCATATCTCACTCTGCATATGTAGAGTAAAAGGGTTCCCCAGGCTTCTTTCAAAGCTTGAATTTGGATGTAGATTTTCAAGTCCCAGGCCACTATTTCGATGAGGAGGCACACAAATGTTACATTAGTAATTTTCCTGACTGCAGAAAGTAAAATATCACCCTACAAAGATACAAGCCCATGGAGCCAGAAGGATTGCCTTCTAATTGAAATAGAATACAACTGAGCAGAGTCTGTCCTCTTGCTGCTGAGAGGACCTTCTCACCCTGGGCTGGAAAAGTGTTACACACTTCTTGTAGAAAGCAAGCAGTGAGACAAATTGAGACTATCTGCAATCTGCCACATATAATCAATAACAAAACATAAGCTTTAAAATTTAAATTAGCTGAAGGGCTGTGATGAGCAATTCTGGTGAGAAGGAAGCCTTTTGAAACAAATAAGTAGTTTTTAAACAACCCAACAATGTCCGTACTTGTTATGCAGTTCCCCATCTATGAAAATTATTAGTTGCTCCACATTTACCATTTTTTTTCCTATGGCTCTTCTCGTAGAGCCTCTTAAGCATCCAAAAGGGTCTCACAAATTTCAGCTCTATCAGCATCAGGCAGTAAAATTTCATCTGGCTAACCTGTACCAGATCACAAGTCATTTGTATCACTCTCACTAACAGCAGAAATAACTCATAACTATGTGGGGCACTTAGTTCTGTGCTTACCATTGACAAATCCTAAAGCCCATCAGAAAAAATACAAAGTTTCAGACACAGGAGGCTGCTGGGAGCTTGGCAATAATTAAGTTCTTGCTGCTCCCTAAAGAGATAGGAGCCCACAGGACCCAACCAAGGTGAAAACAGTAGACTCAAGAGACAGTGGTCAGATGTAACTAAGATCCCAGATCTTCAGGAAAGTCCAAGGACAATCTAGAAAGTCAGTCTACAGATTTAAAAAAAAAACAAAACACCACAAACCCAACAGAACAAGGTCCAGAAGCTGCCTTGGCTATAACCCAGGCAGCCCCAGAAACAAGTACACCTACACCAGCAGCACAGGCAGAAGGATGCTCCCAGGCCTGATCTTAAATGGGCCCCAGGCAGAGGGTGTGGATGGAAACCTCAGCTGAGTCTTATCAGGACCCTAACACCCCACCTCCTCCCCAGCCCTTAGAGCCCACTTCCTTTTAAGAACCAAACCAGATGAATTAATCAAAAAAATTCTATTAATTTGCTGGAGACACACATCTTGCTTCTATTGTCAGCCAGCTCCCTGGGGAACCAGGCTATATAGCCAGAAAGCACACAGAGGTGTGGGAAGAGTTATGTCAATATTTTATTACAGTGCAGTGATCTGCTTAAGAGCCTAGGAAAGTTGCAAAACCAGGCTGGTATTCTGCAGCACTCAGAATTAATAGCTTTGCTGTGGAGATAATGGTGTCAGACTCTTAGTTTTTGAGCTGTGGCTCTCCTGCATTTCTGCTTTGAGTTGTGAAAGATCTTTTAAGACCAGATTGTGGCGATGATGATGAAAAGTTTATTATTTATGCAAAATTCAAGCTTCTTTGTGATGTTCCGGGAAGGAGAACATAAAAATGGGAGCCAGTATCTCTCATATAATTCTGTTTATTTACCTAGTGGCACAAGAGTAATTTTTTTTTTTTTAAATATGACAGAGAGCAAATAGCAAGAGGGTTTTTTTTTTTTTTGCACAAAAGGCTAGTCCCTTTGTAGCAAGCACTCTGCCCAAAAAGCTTCTCTCGAAGCTCTGCTCTCAGGGCTTTCTCCAGCTGTGTCTTTCACACTTCTTCCCTGAAGCACATTTTCTTAGGAATGTCTTCTGCATGTCTCCTAGGCACAATAGCCAGACAATAGCAAGGAAAATTTCTTTGCCTCTATTTTGAGTGAGAGCTATTGGTTTCACCTGACATTCATCCCAAATGGATAAATGGTGGCTATGCTCCTGGATATGTTTCATTGTTTGGTGTTTCCTGATTGTAGGGAAAAAGAAAATATGGTAGAGGGGAAAAACCCTCTCACCCAGGGATCAATAGAGGAGGGAGACAGCAGCACTCAGGAACTGGACAGACCCATTCTCCACCCAGAGCAGAGGGAAGCTGCACTTTTCCTCACCAGGGACTGGTGCTAATAACTTAAATTAGATTTCTCTTAAGTAACTTTATTTCCTCTAGCTCTAGCACTGAAGGTGACACTGAATTTAATTAATTTGTTTTGTTTCATATTATTTAGTCTTTCTGCTGAGTTCTCTCACAGTGAAGGGAAAAAAAAAAAAAAAAAAGCTGATGTGTTAACAGAGGAGAAGAAGGTTAAAAATAGACTCTGAGACTGCCAGCAGACTGTATCCTGATTTGTTCCAGAAGGAATATATTGGTAAATAAGAGAACACATTAATTTGTAGCACAGATGAAAGTCAACATCTGTCTGTATTGAACTCAGCTGCCCTTGAAGAAGCAGGGTAGGGAAAAGAAGTGTGGAATTCTGAGAGCAATTACCCTCTGTTGGGTAGCAGGCACACAGAGTTTCTGGTACTGGACTGACCAAAGCTCTTTGTCTGCTGCCAGTCTCCCAGCCACAGAGCAGAGTCCTGGACCCCCTGAGCCTCTCCACAGAGAACTGAACCCAGAAGCGCAGAATTGAGTAGGAGGGGTTGAAGGAGCCATGGCATATACTGAACTTCACCATAGAATACTGCCCTGAGGAATCCTATTTTCTTCCGTTGAAATACTATTCTTGTGTTTGGCTACCCCACCTAGCTAGAGTGATAAAGAACATCTTGGGTACCACAGTGTGCTGCATGCTCTCATCACAGGGAATAATGGGTTTCCTTGTTTTTCAAAGTGAAAAATAGATCTAAAACCTACTTCTTTAAACTGATTATAAATTAATTTGCCGCAGCTCTGCATTGTAAGTCAAAATGCAATAGATAACTGTCTCCTAAATACGAAGATATTCCTCTACTTTTTAATTTTTCAATGTCAAGCATCAAAATATTTTTGAAAGGTATACTAACTAACCCAAATGTTTAAAATTTATTTCAAAAGCACTTCAGCTGTCAGATCAATTTCAATTTTAACAAGACCATAAACCCCAGCAGTATCTCTGTTTGGACAGCCACTTTCCTGGCAGAGGGGGAACAAACTGTGAAAATTTGTTAGTAATAAATGCATGAGAGAGAGAGAGACATTAAAAAATACAGAGAGAGACAACCTTTAAAACAGTCATCAGAGTATGAAAAGTCCATTTTCATCTTGTTCCACCCATTTCCTTCACTGCACTCTCAGGCTGAATGGCTCCTAGGGGAGAATGCAGGGCAGCAGCCTTCCCTCAAGCTGCAAAATGTGAAATCTCTTCACAAATCTATCCAGACATCCAGAGGGAAATAACTATTAAATCCATCCTGCTTTCAGTTGTTGCACAGGCCAGCTACAGTGCCAATAAAGCCCTGAATCTGTGCAGGAAATCAGATGGCACTGGATGTAATAAATGTGACAAATGGCATGGAAGCTACTGAAAGGTTTCAGTATTTACTAGGCCTGTCTAAAAAACACTGATTTAAATATGGAATATTTTTCAAGCTTGACTTTTGCCTTGTAAGTGGAGAAAGAACAAGACATGAGCACACACACACACAAAAAAAAAAACAAAACCCCCCACAAAAAGACCCCAACAAACCCCAAAACTCTAAGAAGTAGAATCAATGTTAGGCTTAAATCAGGGAAAGATTGTGAACTCAGTGATGGGCAACTAAAAATTCAACCCCAAAATCACTTCAGCTGTGTTGTGCTTCCATAAATAACAGGGTTTGGCTGGTCTATGCAGCTTGCCATTCTGTAATTTTTTCCTCACACAGCATTGCATTTCTACCAGAGCCCAACAGAAGGATCACCTACAGACTGAATTTCTGTGCTGGCATTCAATCTACACAAGCCTGTTGCAGATGAAGCCAATCCTGATAATTTTCTAAGGGGGTGTGTGTGATTCTCAGACCTTGAAGAGCACAGAACAACCTGAACTCCATCCCTCCTGGCTGTATTTTGTCTACCTGTTCCCACAAAGCTTTGTCAAAGTCAGCCCTGGGGAGTGGAGCTTCCCTTTGGGAGTCAGGCGTGATGAAGCACATGTAGATGAAACCTCCTTCCCCACATCTGTGCTTTCCCATACAAAAATCATTCTTCAACATTAAACTCCCATTAAAACAAACAAACAAGAAAAACCCCAATGAAACTATCAATAATTCTGCTACTGAAAACAGCTTCGAATAGCTAGGCTGATAGAGTTATATGGATCCCAGGAATTTTTTACCACTTACATTCTTTTTAAGCATTTTCTAATATTCTTTTCAGATTCAGTATGATCTGTTTCATGATATTCAGAAGTTCTGCCAAGCTCACAGGCTTCCTGCTGATTTGTGTGACTGTTCCATCTTAAAGATACATGCTTCAGTTAGGAGAAGGGATAGGAAAAGGAAACTGAAACAGCTTGATATTTATTGAAACAATAAAATATTAAGTCTGCATTCCTTTCTCTTCCAGACGGCTTTTACATTCAAAAATTTTTAAAAATCTAGGTTTTGACTGCAAATATCAGTATAAAAACAAGCTGTGTGCCAAAATTCAAATTAGATTTTAGCAACAGCTTTTGGAATATTAATTTTAGAATAATACTCATTTATATGAAATCTAACAACAGTAAGAAGCATAAAAAGAATACTAGTACAGGCAGATATTCAGGTATTTGTGAGCGCTGATGTTACTAGAAGTTGCTGGAGAAGTTATAAATGATTAACTCTTCAGTAGCACTTTTTTCTGTAGAAGGCAGCTTGGACACATTATTTTACCATAGCTTCCCTAATGGAAAACTTCAAAAGCCCAACTGGCAATCAGTGGCAGCCTAAGCCTGAATTATACTCGGGGTGTGAATTGGTCAGAAAATAATGACTAGCTGGAGATCACAGGTTGTCAGTGCCTTTCATTCACGCAGTGAGGGCTCCTGAATGGATCTCTTATGGAACAAAAATAATCCATAGAAGACGAAAGGTTAGCAGCCAGCTGCTGGCTTCCATGGTTATAAAAGCCATCCAAAAGCTAAAAAAAATTTATCTCTTCTTCCACCAAAAAAGAAATTCATGTATTTAAGTGTCAACAAAGAAGACTTCAAGATCACTGCGCAGCCTGCTATAAATGGCTAGATTCAGAAAACGAGGCTAAAAAATGAAACATGCTGTTACAAAGCATAAAAATCTATTGCATTGCTTCCACTGAACACTTAAGTAAGGCATCATGATAAACAATCACATGTACCATTATCAATGTGTTCAGTTTTATCATCTTTTTTCTTATGTGGCCAAAATCTGACTTTATATACTTCAGAATAAATAAACTACCTAAAAAGATGGAGATTCACAGGAAGTAAATATAGTAGGTAAATAAGGAGTAAAAATTATATTGGGTAGAGCTGATCAATCCTCATTGCTTCATTAATAAATTTTTATCAGTGGTGTTTTTCATCTGTTGCTTTCCCAATACGGAACAGAAAACATTACTTGTACTACTAAAAGTGACAGGTCTTTTCAATATAACTGTTCAAAGTTGTTGGGTTTTTTCTAATTATTATAATTTAATAAAAGTAATGAAGGCATTGCTGAAGCTCTTAGGAGCTTCAAGCATGTCCTGCTCACTCCAGGCGAGTTGTCCTCACTCCCCTATTTTCAAAATCTGAACCCCAAATAACTTTCACACCGATCAAACTGCAGCACTTAGCACCAAATCTTAATTTGCGTTCACTGGTGAATGACCCAGCCCAACCCCACTCGTGGCCTGCCCTCACCCAGCCCCAGCCCCACGGGCACATGGCTCCTGCACGCTAGGTTCCCCTCCCAGGGGGCTCACAGCTTTGCACGGCAGCGCTGCTTCCCAGATGAAGCTCCCCAACCGCTGCCATCTGGCCGTACCCCGGTTTTATCAAGTCAGGGCTCAGCCCTGATGCCTGTGTCGCTTGCATCCCATCTCCTCTCCACAGCCCTAGACCAGGTCTCTCACCCCACTCTGCCACCGTCCTCCACACCAAGCCCATGGCTCATCTGCATTTTGGGGCACCGTGAAGCTCGCTGCAGGACAGGGGAAGGAGCCAGAAACAGCTCTGACAAGCACCGGAGGAGCTTGAATAAGGAGCTGTTCTAACAAGGTACGTCCCATCACCAGTCTTTGTCCTTGTGCCAGTTTTATTCCTTTGTAAATACAAAGGGGTTTTACCATCTGTTGGTGAGCACATGGTGGCGTGGTAAAAAACAAAGCTTAAGTAGTCATAAAAGTGCCATAAATTCCAAAAAGGCTCTGCTAAACCCAGTGAAACTCTCCAAAGTTCTTCTGCTATAATGAAAACACATTTTAATCTGTGGGAGGTATGAAAATTGTGTTCTTTAAATGTATTTTCCCACACATTCTAATGATTCTTCTAATAAGCAAGTGAACTTCATGTCAAACAAACCCCAGTGACAGTAAGAAAGATTCCCGAAGCCTCTGATTCTGTGAAATTTCCAGTTCCTTAACAAGTACCTGCCCATAAGTGAGAAAGATGTCTTGATTATGGTCCAAGTTATGGAGCAATTCTAAAAGAAGCATCATTGCTTTGAGATGCTGAAACTGGTCATGATTAAACACGATCAGGCAAATTCATTACTTCTCTGACAGCAGAGACTCTTGCTGCTAAGAAATAATTTTCCCACTGCCTATAATGACAGCACCATCTTGTGGTTTGTGACAGTTCATAAATTTTCATTTTACATCTCACAGTCTCTTACAGGAAGTACTGTAAGACATACCTACCCAGCATGGAACTCTTGCAGTCACTGAGAACAACATAAAAACTTTTCACACTGCTTTAGCATTGCTAGTTTCAGTACTGCTAGCAATACAGCCCAGTAGCACAGAGATGGATACCAAACTGTGACTGGAGTTGAGGCCCAGTGTTCACAGAACTTTATCAACAGCTCCAGTACGTCGCAGGACAAAGAACAGTGCAAAATAGCAAAGCTGTTCCCTCCTCCTGTCTCTACGGACACATGGATTATCATTTCACTGAAAGCACTTTACTGAGCAAACTTCGCTACCTGCCATGACTAAAGAATTAAAGGTTGAGCCTTTGAATACTAATAGCAGGTTACCACGGGATACCTGCAAACTAAGATTATTAGAAAATAGATATTTGTGGAATAGAATTATTAAGATCAATTTAAGATGCTTTAACCATTTAACAATTGTGCTGCAGAACAAATACTGATCTTTTGAGGAATACTTGGAATAACTGTAGGATAAGGCACTCATACGTAATCTTACTGGAGATGGTTTGGCCTTGTAGTGGCAGGTAACATAAAGAAGCTGCAAATTAGCAACAAAACCTGAGCAGGCCAGCCTTGAAGGACAAGATGTACGTGACCACAGGACTGAGTTTGCGCAGAAGTAAGGGTCAACTGGCGAACACAGTGGAGAAGACTACGAGCCTTCATCTTAAGACACCTGACGACCACCCGAAGACTCCAACTGACATGCACAAGAGACATTAACATATGCTAAATGAGTTCCCAGAAAAGTTATGAATATGATAAAAATGCAATGAATATGTATGATTAAGGTAGTATAAATGCTTGTTGATTTCACTCTCACACACACACATTAGGAGGCGCTCTCCCCTGTGTGTCCGGTGCTGTAACAAAGAATGCCTGCTTTCTAAAACTCCAAAATTGAGTCTTACAGAGTGAATTAATTACCACTTTCCAGTAACAGATGTAACAGTGTTTTAGGCTGCTGAGACAGGTCACTGATTATCACTATGCCTGCAGTTTAACAGGAACATCACCATAACCCTTCTTTGACTACAGCTCTTGCCTAGCATCATTTGGTCTGTTGCAGTTGCATTTACCTTTGAAAGCTTTCAGCACCTCACACCCAAGCCACCGATGGACTGAATCTGTTGTTATCTTTGACTGGGAAAGAGCTCTGGAGCTCAAGGCACCGAAGCCTGTTTCTCTGCCCAGCAGCTCTTGTAGTCGTGATTCTGCTGACAGCTGTCGCCCAGCTGAGGCTTTTGGCAGCGCTGTACAGGCAGGACCGCAGCCCACGTTACTGGGACACCGGGGCTCAAGGGAGCTCAGTGTCCCCCAAGAATGCAACCAGCACCCCGAGCTCCCTGGGTGCTGCCTAACACAAGCACCATCAACCAAGAGGCTGCTGCTGCTGCTGCACAGACCGGTGCCCTGGCCAGGATCCACCACGTGAAACAGCAACAGGGGATAACAGGTGAGCACTATGCAATTCACTGCTGAATTTCACCCCACTTCTCTTCCCCTGACCTACTCTCCTCTCTCCTTTCAGCGTTCCTGGCATCTCTGAATGGAAGGCTTCATTGCTGGTTTGCCCCCATGGGCAAAAATGTTTGGACACGGTGACACAACGCAACACAGAATGAATGCATCCCATCAGGTAAATTATCGGTGTGGCACGGCGCAGGGCAAGTGCCGCCAAGTCTGCTACACACCTCTTCACCGAGCTGGGTGGAATGGACAACTCCACGCAGCTCAGTTCCTTCTTATTCAGGGAACTTCGGCAAAAAGCGCCCTGAATACAACCCCATTACACCGTGTATCAACTAACCGCTTCCTTGCGGAGCTGCTCCTCCAGCGGGGTGCGGATCTGGCCCATTTTGAGCAGCTGCACCGCGGCCGGCTAAATAACCACGTTTGTAGTAATGTGACAGGGTTTACACCAGACGTGGGGAAGGCGGGGGGGGGCAGAAATACCCCAGCACGGCTCCCAAAACTGCGCGGGTCGGCCCAAGGACCGCGGAAGGGCTCCTGGTCCCCGCCCCGGAAGGCGCCGCGTTGCCGCGGAGCGGGCGCGGAAGATGGTGCTGCTGAGCGGGCCGCGCTGGATCCGCAGCCGCCTCACCGACCGCTTCTGGAGGGTGCAGGAGGTGCTTAAATATGCGCGGGTGAGTATGGCCGCTCCCCGCGGAGCCCGGGCCGCGGCGGCAGCTCCTTCCTCCGCCGCCGGGGGCGGGGGGCCGGGGCGGGGGGCCGCGGGGCCGCAGTCAAGCGGCGAGAGAAAGAGCGGCGGTGGGTCCTCGGAACGTGGAGGGTCGGTGGAGTTGTCTCACGTTAATTTAGCATTTTCCACGTATGTAAATTTGTCTGTATGTGATTAAAGCTGGGGGCCGTAAAACGCGCCTGGTTTTTGTGCCGTCATGCACATGTGTGCGTGTGGATGAGTATGAATAAAAGTGAGAAGCCTGTGGCGGAAGAAATAAAAGCACCGCGGGAGGAGCAGAGTGTAAATACAGCATGTTGCAGACTGGTGTTGGCGGTGGGGTTTTGTTGGTTTTTAACTGGGCAAAGGAGCGGGGGGTGGGGGGAAGACAATTAACCTTGCCCTTCAAGTGCATTTTAAAAGGTGAACGAAACTGCTCCACGACATGATTTCAACAGAAGTTCAAGCCATTGTACTTAGGCTCGGGAATAACCTTTTTCAAGGGCAGACTATTAGTATCCTGGGAGGTAGTACATCTTGCTGTAGTATTGAGATGGAAAATGTTGAAGTGACAGTATCTTGGTCTGCCCACAGTACCAGTAGAAGTTATGTTTTTCTCCAACTCTGCAACACTGGCTACTTCTTCACGTTAGATGGATGTCAGACCTCCTTCACTGTGCTTTCCGTTTGGGCAACTACAATGTTTTTGACATGCCAGAGGCTCCTGTCCCATCCCTGTATTCATACTGACAAAACTGAGAGGGCAGCTCAGGAAGGAGAATAAACGCATGAATTCAGGAGCTGGCTGAAAGCACTGAAGATGATTTTATGGTTGCCTTCCCTCTGGAACCACAGCCTAAAATGAGGTCTGGTTTTGGCTCCTTCCTGCTAGATTGAAATGTTTCAGCCTGCTCCTAACTTTTCAGCCTCAGATTTCCCATGCTGTAAAACAAGGAAAAAATATTTTCATTATATGCCAACTAAAGGCTTAGCTGATATTTGTAAAGCATTTTGTGATCTTTGTTATGAAGAGTTGTGAAATGCAAATGAGTATATATTAGTGTTACTGAAGGGTTTTGCAGCCTGAACGATAACTGAACAAGAACATCTTGGTTTTGTTTCAGCATTTTCGTGGAAGGAAGAACCGCTGCTATAAGCTGGCTGTACGAAGTGTTCGGAGAGCTTTTGTGAAGTCCACAAAGGCTAGAAGAGAGAAGAAGAGATTCCTAAGAGCGGTAAAGGGCAAAATGTTAGATGTAAACCTTAAAATGGGAGAAGAGCAGAACTGAAATAGCCATTTTCCTTACTGGGGGGTTCTCTCCAAATATTTTACCAGTGGGTAAAAAATATGAGTTTAAAGTAACCATAGTTGCTCACATTCTGAAGTTCATACATGTATATGTTGCACTGGGAAGACTGTAGGTCTGGAAATGTATTTACTAAATGTGAGCAGATCAGCATGACAAAAGGTTGACTTTTAAAGTATTTTATTGTCCAATATGTTAATTTTTACACTTTTAGCTTTGGATCACTAGGATTGAAGCAGCTTCTCTTGAACATGGTTTGAAATACCCAGCTTTCATAAGCAATCTACTTAAGGTAAGGATGCTGCTTGAAGAATAATTACTTTGAAACAATAAATTGGAGAAAATACCTGATAGAGGTCTTCTGAAATTCCAGGCAAATTAATTTCTTAAAACTCTGAAATCTTTCATGTAGTCTGACAAACACATCAAAGAGTTCCTGGTTACTATCTAAGAAAGCAACTGCAGGGAATTGAAGCTGCAGCCTCCACTGGCCAGTCTTTAAAGAATAATGGTGGGGACTTCTAAACTGGAGCCTGAGCAGGCAATAGTGGCACAGGGCGTGGTGGAGGCCTGAAAAGCTCCTTCTGTCAGACTGAACTTGGTCCAATACTGTCTTGCTTCCTAGTTCTAGTAATGAAAGGCCTTCTGCATATGAAAGGAGTTTGATTTACTTCAGGAACTAAGTCCTGCTTTAAACCTGTTTCTCTTCCTTGTATACATAATCCCCTTTTATCCTGGAGTATGTTTTTGCTCTATACCTCGTTCTGTCCCCAAAACTTTCACTGTGCATCTTAAGAACGTGACTTGTAAAATGGTTTTACACTTGTTGCTACTGCAGGTGTTAAGTGACGGCTGCCTTCCCTTTTATGTCAATAAATATACAAATACAAAGCTTGGATTAGCAAAAACAACCCTAAGAAACTCTTTTCATTACTAGATTTGTGTTTTGGTGAACATGGACAAGGCAGAGAGTTAGTGCTATTCCCCCTTGTTCTTAAACAAGCTGGAGAATTAGTTTTAATTTGTTGATACTAGAACTGTAAAATTAAAACTTCTTTCTCTTGGTTGTGATCATAATAAGAAGGTAGTGTTTCAGCTTCCTAAAGTGGAACTACATATAAATTTACAGCATATTTCAAAATATTTTATCTGGGTTTCAAATAAATAGATAACTTTCTAGGGTTTCTGACACATTTCCTGTAAAGTAATGGAGTTCCTGAAATGTATACGCTCTATCTCCTGGTTACTAATTTGCATACTGTAACCAAAACAATCAAGCTCTGCCTAAAAGCTAACTCTTTTTTCTTTTTTTTCTTTTTTTTTTGTCCCCATCAAGTTGCCTGTCCCTTTGATTCTTGTGTCAGAGCAGTATATTTTTGTAAGGTTCTCCGTTAAAAGATCCAAAAGCAGCAAACTGTTTTATATAATACCTCCCTATTAGAATATGCAGTTAACTATGCAATATCTAGCATTGTTAAGAGTAACCGATTCTTCAGACTTTCTTTCTGTATTCCAGGACAAATTTTAAAATACCAAACAGATTCTAGCACAACAGGTAAACTTGACTATGTCTGAGAACTGAAACAAATGCCATGGATTAATCTGTAACACGTGGCCTTCCATGAAATAAGAGATTCTTCTTCAGTTCTTGGTTTCTACCAGAAAGACTTTGAGAAAGTCAGTAAACACATTTTATACCATGGCTTAATGAGACAATCCATGACCAAGTAGTCATGTCTGACAGTTCTCTAATAGTTCCAAAATTGTACAGCATAGAAAGAAGGTAATTTGCATTAAGACCTCAGGGAATCATTAAGCATTGTAGTGTTGTTCCTAAAAATTACAGTACTTAACCAACAAATTTTCCTGCATTTAGTCCCAGGTGGAGCTGAATAGGAAAATGATTGCCGATTTGGCTATTTATGAGCCAAAGACATTTAAGTCCCTAGCTGCCTTAGCCCAGAGGAGGAGACAAGAAGGCTTCCTTGCTGCCCTGGGAGATGGAAAAGAACCAGAGGGGATATTTTCACGTATTGTACACCACTACTGATATTAAGACCCTGCAGATACGCATTATAAACCAGAACTTGTATTGCAAAGTAAACTCACATGCTGACTGCTGCTGAGATTGTAGCTGTGGAAAAAAATTCTCTAAGGATGGTTCTGGCAGGAAGAAGAGGTGGGTCGGGGCGCGAAGCTTGCGCCTTGATGACATTTTTTGTTCCCCTGTATTGTTGTAATGGAAAGACGTCGAGTTAGAAACTACAGTTTGCAGTTAGCAGTGGCACATCAGGCCTGTAGAAGTTCCAGTGTTAAAGACACCTACAGTACATACATGCTTTCTGTTCTCTTCAGGACTTTGTAATAAAGATCCTATTTTGGTAACTGCTACCGGAAAACCAATTTTGAGTGGTGACTTCTGGCGCTGAGGCGGGGGACCCAGGCTGGGGAGGATGTCGGCAACACCCAGCCCAGACCCAGCAGCTGCCCGGGGATGGGGTTGGGAGCGGGGCTGCCCCTCACGCCGAGGTGGGGTGGGCTGGGAGCGGCTCCCGCCTAGGTGCTGAGGGCGGCGGAAGTCCCGCCCCCCATCCTCCAACGCCCTGTTCAAATTCCCAACCGGTGCGTCACAGCCGCTCCGTTCAAGCCCCGGGGGGGGCGGGCCGGCGTCAGACGGAGCTGAGGCTGAGCCAATCGGCGGCCGCCGCTTCGGCGCGTCCCACCAATAGGGAGGGGAGGGAAAGGAGGGGGCGGTGTCGGCCGGTGGGGAAGGAGAGCTGAGGCAGGCCAGGCAACGGCGGCGGCACCTCCACAAAATGGCGGCGGGGTCGGGCAGCGCGGCGGCCGTGGGAGCGGTGGGAGGGAGCGGCCTGGCAGGGCCTCAGGCTGCTGGCGCTCCGGCGGCGGGATCGGTCCCGGCGGGGAGCGGGGCGCCGGTGCCGGGCCCCGGGGCGGTGCTGATCGGGGACCGCCTGTACTCGGGGGTGCTCATCACGCTGGAGAACTGCCTGCTGCCTGAGCACACGCTGCGTTTCACCCCGTCCATGAGCAGCGGCCTTGACCCGGACACCGAGACCGAGTTGCGCGTCACCGGCTGCGAGCTCATTCAGGCGGCTGGTATCCTGCTCCGTCTGCCGCAGGTGGGGCTGGGCCGCGGCCTGGCTGGGTGCGGGCCCGGGCCCGGGCCTTCTCGCTGCCCGCCGCCCGGGAGCCTTGTTGGCGGGGCCGCAGGCCGCTGGGCCGCCCTCCGGGGTTAGGGCTGTGGGGAGAACCGGGGAGCTGCTCCTTTCTGGCTGGGGCCTGGGCCGCGGGGCCTGCGGCCTTCCCCGCCCGGCCGGCAGCAGGAAACGGGTGATGTAACCGCCTGCCCCCGCCGCCTCTCCGGCCAGGGCGGGGGATAGCGCGCTCCTTTTCTATTTAGTTATTTATTTTCTTAAAGATCGGGGCTTGTGGAAAGAAGGATTTCTTAATTGTAGTGACCTCGGAAAGGTTTGGTTTCCTGGCGAGCTCAGATATAGCAAACAGTCTGGTCGTTCTCCAGGTGTAAAACTTTCCAGCCATCTTCTAGCAATCGGATCTCAGCTGCTCAAATTGTGCTATGCAGATCATAATATCATTAGATTCCCCCCTTCCTTCCTCCCCGAAAAAGTAAAATTTTTCTGGCATACTGTCATAACTTGCAGTTTTATTGGTTTCTAGTGTTTGGGTTGAGGTTTTTTAATTTTTTAATTTATTTTGGAGCATGCTTTTATGTCTCATAAAAGAAGATTGCGATTTAACATATGTATTTGGCTTGCAGGCAGTGATTGTGGTGTTGGTACAATTTTGGGCAATTTAAATTGTTACGGGTATTTGTTTAATTAGGTAGGGGTGCTTGGTTTTTTTAGCTACCCCTGAACTTACTCCCATACTTAAATATAGCTTAGCTAATCTTTTGGGTCTTAAATCTGTTGGAATAATTCTAGGTAATTTCTCTTTGAAACTGATAGTTGTTTTGTTAATAACTGTTGTGGTTATTTTTCTTTTTAGGTGGCTATGGCTACAGGACAGGTGCTATTTCAACGTTTTTTTTATACCAAGTCTTTTGTGAAGCATTCCATGGAGGTGAGAAAATATTAAAAGATGTATATAGCTATGAATGCTATTTGATCTGTTTTGGCAAGTTGTCATCTTAGATGTGATCAGAGTGTTAGTAACTATCCATTTTACTCATCAATCAACATAATTTTACAAAGCTACACAGTACTGATTTTGTCAGATTTTTAGTATTTTCTTGTTCTATCAGCATTTTCTCTTGTTACCCCTCCTTAAGCTGTTGGAGGAGATCAGTTCCTGATTTGAGCAAAACATCAGTATCTTGCAATACTTATATTTCAGCATGTGTCAATGGCCTGTGTTCATCTGGCATCCAAAATTGAAGAAGCCCCAAGACGCATAAGGGATGTAATTAATGTGTTCCATCGCCTTAGACATCTACGGGAAAAAAAGTAAGTTTAGACTTTGAAATAATCTGAAATATTAGTGTTGTATTTTAATTATTAAACTTCATGGGTCGATGATAGTATCATTCCCTGTTTCGTAAATCAGAATCAGGGAACATCTTGAAGAGATCTCGTGAAGGAGAAAAGTGAGTTGACCCGTTTTATTAAGTAAATATTTTTGGTGTTATAATTAGTGATGTCTTGTTTTTACACGAACGCAACTTAACCTGCATATGAGTACTCTTTGAGGTTAAGATTATCTTCTTCAGAATTTGAAATTGTCTTGCAGAAAACCTGTGCCTCTAATACTGGATCAGGAATATGTGAACTTGAAGAATCAAATTATTAAGGCAGAAAGAAGAGTGTTAAAGGAGTTGGGATTTTGTGTTCATGTAAAGCACCCTCATAAGGTTTGTACCCTATAAGTTAACTTTATCCTCAATGTTTTATACGCTGTAAATTCTTTGAGCAGACTGCCTAACTGCATGGAAGCTGTATGGTTTGAACATGATAACACTAGTTAATTCAGTGAAGCTGGCTTATTGTGATCCCAATGTCTTCTTTCTCATTTAAGAGATGCTTACTAGTTGGTCTTGTATCACTGCTGAATGACGACTGGAGGTGGATGCAGATGCTAAGTATTCCTTGAAGTCAAATTACATAAGTAGGTAGCTCTGGTGTTAGAAAATGTCAACTAAACAGAGATTCTTAAGCAGAAAGGAATTTGCAGACCTGAGGTTGTGATAGCCTGTTATCAGAAACAGTCATGATCATTCCTTGTGGAAACTTGCTGAGGTAATTAAACCCATATGAGCTAGTTAGCGATGTTACTTATGTTCTAAAAAGTACACTCAGATGTGAAGGGCTTGACTAGAAATGAGACAATTCTCAAATGTTTAAATATCACGTGTCAGGCTAAGATGATACTTGAAAGATGCAACTACTGCAAATGTTTAAGTTGTTGCTTTAGTACCATTAACTCTATGCCTTAAGTAGCTAAGTGCCGTAAAAGAACCTTCTACTTCTGTGCCAGCTGAACTTGGGATCTTGCTCTTTCTTCCTCTAAACTACTATTGTCTTAAAAGTCTTTTTTAAAGCCTGCTTGACTTTCGGAATTCACTCCTGTTATAAGTACCCTTGAGGGCAATTGTACTTGTTTGTTAATTGGTATGAAATTTTGCTATTAAGAGTAGTCTTTTTATCTGCATCCTTGTTTTCCTTTCAAACCTAAGAAAAAAATCCTAGAACTGAACAAACCAGCGACCCACAACATGTTAGATCTGTTCTCTGCAAGTCTTGTTATACTTCTGTTACTGCTTATCGCAGCTAGCAATGTTTTCTCCCAAGTTACAGCTAAAAGGAATCATGGGTTACATATAAGAAAATACCTAGCTTGAAAACAGTTGAAGACAAGACATCTAGATGAATAGCATGATGCCTGAGCTCAGAAGACGGAGAGCTAGGAAGGTCAGATCTGGTTGAGTGTCCTGCTTTTGCATTGGGGAGCAGAAGCTGTGTGGATATACACTGGGGATGTTACAAACACTCTCATGTGGAGTGTTTTAGAACTTGAAAGAGAATTACAGATGCCTCATGGATGTCCCTCTGAAATAAATAGGTGGCTCTCAAGATTCTTGTTAATAACTCAATAACCCGTATCTTCCAGATAATCGTTATGTACCTTCAGGTATTAGAATGTGAACGTAACCAACACCTGGTCCAGACTTCATGGTAAGTTGATTTTCTTTGTTATAAGAGACCAGCAGGGGCAGTAGCAGAAATATGTCACTTGAGGCACTCTGGGCAACATTGCTCAGAAATGATTGTGGGCCACACCAGAGAGCTCCAGTGTTCCTTGGCGTGCCCCAAACTACTACCCAAATGCCTCTTAAGTTAGAGGCACTGTTTTAATGGTAAGGTAGCTTTCCACCCTGACTTCTCACTTCCCTCCTCTCTGCTTTCACTTTTCAGCTGAAGGGAAAATGTTGAGTAGGTTATAGTGTTTCCTTGTTCTTTTGTTCTTCAGAGAAAACTATGTATAGTTAAAGTCTGTTACCAGTGCTGGGAAATGGCTTTTTCCCAGGGCTTGAACTTGATTACAGGTGTATCAAAAACTCAGCACAGATAAATTTCTTTTATCTGTATGGATAATACAAGATGTCAGCTTCTAAGACTGGATAAACTCAATGTTTTCACATTTGCCAAGAAATGTCCTCTGCCTTGTTGCTCTTATTACGATAAATACTTGCTTGGGGATGGGAAGCTTATGTAAAATTCCAGGTCTTAAACTTAACAAATAGATAATGCTTTTAAACAATAATGCTTTTGAACAATACTGTGGTTTACAAACCTTTAGTGAATCCAAAGATCATATTTCTGCTGACTGAACTGTCTGGTACTGTGACCTGTGTGTAGAGAACCAGTTTTGACTTTTCTTTTCTGTACTCTTTTAATCAAAGGGTAGCCTCTGAGGGTAAGTGACTAAGACTTCTCCTCTGCTGCCCAAGCGCTATGGTGCAGGGATAGCTGCCGTCTTCAGTCAAACCAAAGCAGGCTCTACAAAGAGAAGGCTGACTCTAGACAGGTGGTATATACATGATAGTATAGTAACTGGCCAACTGCTTCTTGTGCTTATACTTTTTGACTTTTATTTTCATTGTGCATTTTGACTGTTGTATATTTTATAACCTGACTGTTGAAGTCCTGAAAGATTTTTAAGGTTATATTTCTATAACTGTTAAAATGATGTATTCTTAAATGATAAAGCAAATTAAGGTGGGATTTAAGTCTTAAAGGGCTGAATTAACAAAAGCTGAAATCCAATTTCCATTTGTAAACTAGTTAGAAAACATTTGAGTACGTGTGTGAAGCTTGGAGTCAAATGTAATACTTGGAGGAACTTCCTGCTACCAGATTTCTCAGTACCATTGCATGAAGTACTCGAATGTGAGTTATGGACTACTCATTACCAGTTTTCTACTTGTTATGAAAGGAGGGGCAGGTGAGGAGGAGGGAGGAAATTACCCCCATTGAGAAATGGTTCAGATGTTAAAATAACATATTTGTGTGCTGATGCTTGTTGCTTCCAGTACCTGAAAAGTAGTGGATACCCAATATAATTGTTTTCTGAAATGTGTGTTTTTACAACATTACCTTTTTCTTAAAATACTGTGGCAAGGATTCATTTCCCCATGTGTCTGATTCTGAGCCCACAGGGAAAATATGCAGAGTCCAAACTTGGAAGCAGGAATGTTTTTCAGTTTGGCAAATTAGAAAAAGGCTGTATGACTTCCAGATGTTCGAAGTGCCCCTTTTCTTTATCACTACTTTTGCCAAAAGGTTTGTGCTCTCTTTGTGGTGGGACAAGAAAAGCAGATTTTGAAGTTCTGTTCTCCCAGAAAGAAGAGCTGATGTTTAACGTTGCCTCTCTGGGGTAACAGTTGCTCTATGTATAAACTGGAATGAAAGACAACAGGGGCAGGTGGGAGTTAAGTGCTTTTGGGATCCAAGTTCCTTTTGTCTGTCCTGTGTAAACTGGTTACAGGTGCCTTGACTGTGTTCTCTGGTTTGGATGTCTTGGGGGTTAGTGAATCCTTGTATGATGGGTACCCACGTGGTTAATTACTACTTTCAGAAAGCGTATTATTTTGAGAATTTTCTATTGAGTGTGGTTTTAGCCTTACTCTATCTAATGCTTTGCTTGACATATGTGCTCAAAATCTTTTAAGCACATCAGCTGGCAGATTCAGAGGAAGTTATTGTGTATATTTAAGATTTAGAAGAATAATGCTTAAGTGTACTGACTGGAATATATGTAATATTTTACAGTTTTCTCATTCTGTGAATATTCATTTTAAGCAACCTTACTGAAATGGGACAGTTTGGAAACCATATTTCATGTGCCAAAGAGGAGATCTGCCTGAATACTGAGTATTCTCCTGAATTGATGTTCCCAAACACCCCGATTTCTTCTATGGCTGCTTTTTGCATCAAAAAGAATTCTGGTCTGGATGGAAAGTAATGCTTCTGGAGGAAAAAGGACCCCTTAAATCTCTTGTGGAAGCTGATGCGTATGGAAGTGGACTGCATTTTCATGGGAGGACTACTACAGGAGCTGCACATTTCAGCAAACCATCTGGGTTCAGCCCTATTGCAGAGAAACATGTGAACCTAAAAGTCTATAACTGAGTATTTCAGATTATATTGTATGTTGTCTTGATGAAAATAACTTGTCTATTGCATGAGAGCAGGCCAGTAGAGATCCAGAAGGAAAAGTGAAGTTAAAATTGGTTCTCTTTTCACAACTGAATTTTCAGCAGCCAGTCAGTCAATCAAACTTAATTTCTGTCACACATCTCTCCCCTTGTGGGAATTTTTTTTTTTTTTTGTAGTAACATTATTCAACTTTCCTTTAGATTTACAGGAGTATAATGTTGAAGTCTAGTAACTGAATGCAGAAAGAAATAGTTCTTGTAGAAGTAAAAACAAAAACCCAAAAAACCACCGAACAACTTTGCAGTGCCATGTAACTTTGTTGATATCCTGTCTTTCAGGAATTACATGAATGATAGCTTGAGAACAGATGTCTTTGTAAGATTCCAGCCAGAGAGCATTGCTTGTGCATGTATTTACCTCGCAGCCAGGACGCTGGAGGTGAGCACACAGTTCCATTGATTGGAAGTTTGTTAGGTGTTCTAGTAGAAGCAGGAAACTGAACCTGTCTTCCTTTTCAGATTCCACTTCCTAATCGTCCACACTGGTTTTTACTCTTTGGTGCAACAGAGGAAGAAATTCAAGAAATCTGCTTAAAGATTTTGCAACTTTATACTCGGAAAAAGGTTTGCTGCTTTTTCATATTGTGAGCATTCATTAAAAGCTGCAGCTTAGAATGTGACTTGGAAAACCTTAGCCCGTTTGAAACTAGCTGCAAGCCTGCTACATTAAGTGGAACAGGATAGTAGTCACAGTGTCTGGCTCTCTAGATTTTTACTCCCCACCCCCTGTAAGGAGTAAGCAGAAATTCTAGTTTACTAAGTTTTGTGGTAAGCGATGCTCCTCTGTTCACAGGTTGATTTATCTGATCTGGAAAGTAAAGTAGAAAAGAAGAAATTAGCTATTGAAGAGGCAAAAGCACAAGCTAAAGGTCTGGTACCTGAGGGAGCACCAAGTTTAGATAACACATCAGGATTTTCCCCTATCCCAAAAAATGGTAAGTAGTGGATAACTTGTTTTTAACAAGTTTTTGTCTTTCTCATCTTAAATACATATTTACCCTTTTGGGATGCATATAGGGTGGTTTGGGTTTTGTTTTTTAAGATGGCTTGATGCAACTATTCAAAAGGCAGAGTTTGAATAGCATTGCAACTTTGTAATTTCTTGAAACAGAAAAAAGCTCAAATCAAATTAGTTTAAAATTAAGGCTAGTTTAAACTCATGTAGTACAGGAACTTGCTTTTATATGGTTTTGGCAATAAACTCGAACAAATATGTGTAGTTGACATGTTATGCTGAAGCAGTTTGAAAGCATAGGGATGCTTTTCATAGGAACTCTGTCAGGTGGAGTATTTTTGGGTGACAAGTGGGGAATATTTTCCTGCATAGTTGGTCAAAAGGCTCCAGTCTGGTGCATGTCTTGCCTAGAAAATGACATTTACCATATTCCTCACTTTATCTTGAAAAAGATGCTGAATATCTGGCAAGAAAAGGAAGTGGCTGTTCTGCCTTGGCAGAAGTGTTTCAGATCAGCTTCTAGTTTCTGTGAATTTCTTCAGCTCTGCTTCTTGTGGGTGGATGTGCATGCATGTGTGTGTGCACATACATGCAAACTACATGTATACAGTACTGATTATTACAAAGATAATGAAATAGGGTGACAGGAGAGTTTGGTCCTTCTTTCAGTCACTACCCATACTTTCAAAATAAGGTAACAAAGGTTTGTTTTTGTAGAGTCTCCAAAAGAGGTTAAAGGAAATAAACCTTCACCGCTACCTGTTCAGGCAATGAAGAATGCTAAAAGGAAAACAGAGGGAGCAAAAAGAATGAGTTCCAATAGTCCAGTAAATGGGTAAGGCTTTCATTAATAAAGAAGCTTATTTTTTTTCCCATGACTACAAGCAAAATAACTTACTGTTTATTGTCTCTTGCAGCATTCAGAAGGGAAGAGAAAGCAGAAGTCGAAGTGGAAGTCGAGATCAAAGTTATTCAAGATCACCATCCAGATCTGCATCCCCTAAGCACAGGTATATACTATTGTAAAAGAAGGGTATGCTGTGAGAAGCTCCCAGACCAAAATCTCACTGAGTAGGGCTTTGGTAGTTTCTCAACAAGAGGTGCTGTGAAATAACATAGCAGTATGTGCTACTAGTTAAAACTCCAGAAAGGTTATGGCTAAGAGTTGTACTCTCTTGGCTCAGGGGTGAAGGGGGTTGCAGTGCCTCACCTTGTCACACCTGTGCCAAATGGGCTGACAGGAGAGCGTCGGCATCTGGGGACACTTTGGAATGTCAGCCTGGTACCGGTGATAGAAGGCCCACCAAGCGGCAGGGTTGGTTTGTTGGTTTGAGCTTTTTATGTTTAAAGCTGGGTGCTTGGGACTACAACCTTTAATGAATTACATTTTTACTGAACTGTACTGGAGTAGTTAATCCATATTCTGCAACAGATGAACTCCTAACTCCAGCCTTAGTCTCACTGGCGATTGCTCCTGTAAAACCTTAATTTATGAAATACAAAATGATCCTGTTTTGTATCTAGTTGAGAGTAGTAGATTCATGCCCTGCAGTCAGCGTAAGCTTGACTTTTTACTCGGCAGCCTATCCCGTTGGGTTTGGGTGTGTACTGATATAAGTATGGCTTTGTATTACTGTGTATGTGTGATTAAAATTCTTCAGTGTTGAATTCCAAATTGCATTTTAGCAATTATCTGAATTTAATGAAACATCTTTAATATCTGCTTTCTGTACTGCCTCTGACTTTGAAGTTCAGCATACAAACGTGATACCCATGGAGGGGAAGTCAGACAGGAAGGGAACATTAACTCCAAACTTGGGTGTTTTGGTGACACTATTGCTGTAACTGAAGCAGAAGTATCTTTACCTTTGTCTTATTGCTGGCAGCACTGTGAATCTGGCAGTTACTCTTAGCTATTCATGCATGTTTTCCAAGTAGTGAAGGAAGAAATTCTAAAAGTGAAACATGACTACTATACATGGATATGAGCTTCTAAAAATCAGTATTTCTACAGTAACCAGATATGATCAAGTCTAAGACCTGAGATTAGTTTTCACGGGATACTGAACAAGAGAACATGGAATCAAGTGCCTGGTCTCAAACTGTGCTTGCACTCCTTGGCTCTATTACTGAGAAGCATTTGTCTATATGGTACTTTTTAAAGTGTGTATGTATGTATTGTGGCTACATTTGGGCTCTAACAGTAATGTAGAGTCATTCTATTTAATATTAAGAAAATCCTATGTTTTCTCTCCTTTTCTTTTTCCATAGGAAAAGTGAAAGTTACTCCACATCAAGCGGTTCCAAGTCCCACAGCCGTTCTAGGAGCCGCAGTGACTCTCCTCCAAGACAGTTCAACCACAGTTCTAGCTACAAAGGTTCCAAGGTGAGAAGTTACAAGAAATCAAAAGACTACAAATACTCAACACACAAACCACGGAAATCACGCAGCAGGAGTTCCTCACGTTCCAGGAGCCGATCCCGGGAGCGCTCTGACCATTCGGGGAAGTACAAGAAGAAGAGTCACTACTATAGAAATCACAGGCATGAGCGTTCGCGCTCCTATGAGCGGGCGAGTCATCGCTATGACCGAGACCATCCTGGCCACAGTAGACACAGGCGATGAATAAAGCAAAAAAGTTCTTTCCTTTGGAATTTAAGCAGTGGAGCTCCTTCCGCATTTGGTCTTTGCAGCATAGGGTTAACTCTGGCTTGTAAACCACCTAGCTTGAGTAATGTCCACTCTGCTGGCAATTCTGTACTTACTATCATGAATCCAAAGGAAAGATACTAACAGGACGGGATGATGTGAAAGCCTGAATCTGATAGATGTCTTGGTGACTGTTCTGCTGGAGGGTGGTCACCTAGTAACACTGCAGAACTTGTCTCTGGATGCTCCTATGCCTGCTCTTTAGTAATTTTGCGTACCGTAGTGCAGTGGAGTGGGACTTGGGACTTCCAGTTCTGCAAGCAGGATGTCCATTGCTCAGCCGCTGGCATACTGTGCTGAACAGTCCTTCCCTGTGGAACTAGAAGGCTCAAGACAGTTCATAAAACCCATTGGAGTGGCTTGGTGCTAACAAAGCTGTCTTTTCATACTGACTCAGACTATGTTGTACAAATGTAAGGTGACTTTTTTTAGAACTGTTGCCTATATTAGGTTATATATGTGTATATATATTTTGCAGTGTTACAGTACAGTATGGGAATACGGCCTTACTAGCCTTTACACTTTATCCACAATGTAAATAAGCATTTGTTTAATACAGTGGAAGATATATACAGAAAATTCAAAACTTGAATTCTATCAAAAGACTTGTGTAGAAAATTCTGATAAATGTGAAAGTATTTAGCTCTGTGTATTGAGAGTAGTATATTTTTATCTGTGCAATGCTGTGTGCAGGCCACCAGCTCATAAGACATTTCCTATATATACATTTTAAGTGGTTTGAAATTCTTTACTCAGGATCTTTGACACTCTGAAGAATTAGTAGTTTGTCAATCTGCATGCTTGTTGAAGAACAGAGCATTTAAAAAAAAAAAAATAGCAAAAACCCCACAGCCCAGTAGTATCAGTTCTAATGGTATATCTGAGCTGTTACTCTCATGCTCCCTAATTGCATTAAAGTATTTGATTTTCTATTACATTTACTTGAAAGTAGTTTCTTATGAGCTGTACCACTGTGCTTACTCATAAGGAAGGAAATTTGGTGCTGAATGAAGAGATTATCAAATTGTGGTAGATTGAAGAGTAGCCCAAGTTGTTATACCCTGAGTATACGTGTAGGAGATACACTGGGACCATCCTGGAAGAGCAGGCAGATGTACAGTGTGAAGTAGGGTGCTGTTTGTGAGCCTTTCAAGCTCTGGGAGTGGGTCTTACTAGAACCACTGCTAGTTAAACTCCCTCGGCCTGCTCTGGGGGAAGCAAGATGCATGAGGCTTTTTGTGGTCAGGCTTGTAGGTGCCACAGTGACTCTTACAACGCTGCTTCTAAATCCAAATCAATCTCATGGCAGTTTTCCTAAGTTTTAATATGGGGGCAAGGCAGCTGAAAGGATTTGCACTCAGCCTTCCTATAGCCAACCTCTAGTCTACCAATCTCCTGAGCTGGATGTTGTGTAGGATTAGTCTGTGTAATTACCAGTGGACGTATTTGTGAATTTGACTAATCTTAGTTTGAACTAAGTGCTGCTTTTGACCTCCAGCTCCCTCTGACATTCTGTTCCATAACAGGAAGTACATTACACAACATGGTTACCTGTTCTAAATGCATCATCACTGGATACTGGCAGTTGGTGCCCTTATTTCCTAGGTAGGGGGCAAGCTAGGTATTTCCTGGTCACCTTGCAGTAACCATCGTTGGTTTGTAGTTCTTTACCATATACCATAGTTCTGATTACATCTTGGACGAAAAAAAGACAACAGATAGAAGGAAGGTTCCTTGGAGCTTCAGCAGAGTACTGCTGGGGAATGTAAGTAAATCTGAATCAGCAACCTATTTGCCTTAACTTGACCTTTGCACACAGGTAGAACTAATTATTTCATACTCTGTGCTAAATAATTGAGTCAGAGTATGAAAGGAGCTCAGACATCACGTGATACAAAAAGAGACTGATCTACCTAACTGAACAACCTGAAGTCACACCATTGGCTAGAAAGTTCCCATTTTCAGTCTTTTTCATTTTTACTACCTCGATGTTACGTGGAGCAGGTCAACCTCACACACTTAGTAATTCCAGTTCTAAAAGGTAGTGTTTCTGAATCTCCCCTTTTTCAGTTTGTAACTGCTAACCCTTGTCCTATGCCCACCCCCCTGACCCAGAGTCCCTCCCCACCTTTCCTGTCCCCCCTTTAAGCCCTGGGAGGCCGCTCGAAGGTCTCCCCGGAACCTTCTCTTCTCCAGGCTGAACCCCCCCAACTCTCTCAGCCCGGCCTCCCAGGGGAGCTGCTCCAGCCCCCCCAGCATCTTCGTGGCCTCCTCTGGCCCCGCTCGAGCAGCTCCGTGTCCTTCTGCTGTTGGGGGCCCCGAGCTGGCCCCAGCACTGCAGGGGGGTCTCCCCAGAGCGGAGCAGAGGGGGAGAATCCCCTCCCTGGCCCTGCTGCCCCCCCCTGCTCTGGCTGCAGCCCAGGGCACGAGGGGGTTCTGGGCTGCGAGCGCACGGTGCTGGCTCACGGGCAGTTTTCCCCCCACCAGCACCCCCAGTCCCTCTCCTTGGGGCTGCTCTCCAGCCCCTCCTCGCCCAGCCTGGGTTTGCGCTGGGGATTGCCCCGGCCCCTGGGCAGGGCCTTGACCTTGGCCTTGTTGCACTCCATGAGGTTTGCCCGGGCCCCCCTCTCCAGCCTGCCCAGGTCCCTCGGGATGGCATCCCTGCCCTCCCGCGTGTCCCCGCACCACACAGCTCGGGGTCGTGGGTGAACTTGCTGAGGGTGCATCGATCCCACTGTCCGTGTCACCAACAAAGGTGTTAAACAGCGCCGGGCCCAGCCCCGGCCCCTGAGGAACGGCGCTCGTCACTGCTCTGCCCTTGGCCATCGAGCCGTTGACCACAAGTCTTTGAGTGTGACCATCCAGCCAATTCCTTCACCGAGTGTCCATCCATCAGATCCACGACTCTCCAATTTACAGACAAGGGTGTTGTGTGGAACAGTGTCAGATGCTTTGCACAAGCCCAGGCAGGTGAAGTCTGTTGCTCTTCTCTTACCCACCAGCGCTGTAACCCCATTGTAGAAGGGCACCAAATACATCAGGCACGATTTGACCTTGGTGAAGCCACGTTGGCCATCACCAATCACCTCATTTTCCATGTGCCCTAGCAGAGTTTCCAGGACTGGAGGAGATCTTTCATTCTGCTCTGGATGCTTCTGGAGTTGCCTCTTGTCCGGTTGCTGAGGTAAGCAGCACATGGGGAGGCCGGCTTCAAAGCTACACCCTCCCCCAGGAAGACGTTAAGAGGAATTACTTTAGTTAAGTCTCAGTTCTGCTGGCTACAGACATGACCTTCCTCCAGTGCAAGTAGCGTGGATAAGGATAAAGGTAAGACCCAGGCTATGTACATGTTTCTACAAGAACGTAATGTCCCTTGGCATAAAAATTGGCATCTGCGTTCGATAAACTGCTGTGCTTATGTACAGTGCTGAATAAATAGTAATCTCCTTTCTAGTACATTTGTTAAAATCTGGAGAGGAAAAAACAAGGGAGAAAGTGTGTATATTTTTACATTACAGTGTTTTGGTTCCAAAACTAAAGGAATTATATCACAGGATTAAAAGACATCCTGTTCTAGGAGAGAACAATCTGTCTTTACCAGCAAAAAGCCCAATACAGATAGCTGCACAGGATGTCTTGGCAGGGAGGTGGGTTTGGGAGATGCAGAGGAGCGAGAGGAAGCATAAGATCTGTTGAAACACGGGGGCTGATGCGCTGGGTGGGAGCAGCTGCCCCTCTGTTCAGCAGACGTGTGCCCCTGTGCAGGCAAGCCTCGTATTGTTTGACTTTGCTCAGAAAGTCCAAGATTAAAGAGTTATCACATGTAGTTGGTAACTCTGGGGGAATTTACAAACAAGTGGTTTCGCAGCATTTACTCTGCTAAGAAATGTGGTATCTGTCATAGTTCACAGCTAGCCATTACAGGGCTTAGTAACCTGTTCCAAATTTTACACAACCCCCAGCCATTCTTCAGCCAACGCAAGCAGCACTAGAAACAGAGGTGATTTTTGTGGTGGTGGGGGTTTTTTGATTTTGTTTGTTTGTTTGTTGGTTTGGTTTGGGGTGTTTTGTTTGTTACAATATATCTGTGCTAGGGGCTTGTCTTTAATTTTTGTGTGTATACCCAATAGTTTCCTTGTGCTTTGGGTACCAGCTGAATCTCGTGAACAGTGATGGCTCCGGTCCTCCTCACCCCTACAGTGATGAATGAGCCGCACAGGTAATGACTATGGCTGATCTCTGGGGGACGACAGAACTGCAGTTCCTGAGAACCTGGCCTCTTGGCACATGGAAAAGAGAAATATGCTACGTGTCAGTTCTTGAGGTGTGAAGATGTTTCAAAGTGGAAGAACATCTGTGATGGTTTTGATGTGAGCCAGCCACAGGGAACTGTTGAGACAACTCAGGGAAGTAAGCACTGACAACAAGCAAGCCAGAAGTCCCATTAATGGAGCTGACAGATTATTTTCTTCTCTTTTCTTGGCACCAGTTTGCATTTGTTCACTTAATCTTTTGTAAGCACAGCTCCTGTGGTAGGTGTCAAGTGGATGTGATTGGGCACAACACTGCAAGAGCCTGGCAAAAAAAGAAATCAGCCCAGTCTTTGGAGAAAATGTTAAGAAATACTGTCTCAAGCAATTCCTTCGTTCCTCACATATGCTTAGCGCCCTATTACAATGCAATTTTTTCTCTCTACATCTGATTAAGTGTCAGTTGCTTTTCCCAATGTTTCCTACAGAGCTGAAAGGAACAGGGCTGCTTTTTGTCTTACTAGAAAAACATCCTTCACCTTGGGGTCATCTGATGGGGTAGCAGTTGGAAACCACTGGTGTCTGGCACAACTGTGGTGGTTCATGTGAAATGATGTGATGAGACAGTCTGGACCGTCACCATGACTTGGAAAATCACCTGTCAGCCAGGCAGTCAGTCCTGTGCATGAGCTCTTGAGGAAGAGCTTGCTTTCTGAACCTTTTAGTTCTCTAATTTCTACTCCTTTTCATAAGAAGCGGAGCTGAATATATAATAAATGATGTATAATCCAGCTCAGACATTATTTCATTATTTCCTGAAGGATCAGCTGCTCTTTTCTAGATAGTAGGGTTTGATCTAGTGCCTATTTCAGGAGTCTGGAGAAGTGGTGCAGGCCTGCATTATGATTATCCTTGAATCCAGACACAGTCTAAGTCCTTGTAGTCAGAAAATATGACAACCTCTGACCTGACTATTTCCTCCAGCTGAAACCTGTGCATAGTAGTTTCATTGTATTCATAGTACTGAGACCCATCTTTCCTTCAGCTCCCGCCAGCTACCAACACTAGGGACTGTATCACAGATCATGCAATATTTAGAATTTGTTTCTAACCTGTAGTCCTACTGGGTAAGAAGTTGTGAGAGAATCTAAGTTTTCATTTTAAGAAAACAGAAAAAAATTTAGTTCTCATGGTTACAAAGATTACAAAAATCTGTGTGTAGCAGGCTGAGCAAACAGAAGACAAGGAGCTTAGGTTTACCTAAAATAAATTACAAGAGCATTTTTATGTACATCCATGCACATACAAGTCTCAGCTCTTAAGGTGAGTTATGACTTCTCTTTTCTGAATATCTGGAGACTGCAGCATGGCTCTCGCTGATCTGAACGTCTCTCAGGTTACTCCTCTGTGATCTCTCTGTATTTGGTGCTCACATGTAATTCCTTCTGCCTGGAGAGAGTTTCTCTCACTGGCTAGAAGCTTCCTGAAACCTCTGACTTAGAAGACACTACAGTCTTGGCCAGGCTATGGTTCTCTTGCCTCAGATAAAGCCTTCTCCCTGCTCTGGCAATGCAGCCTAGGCCTCCTTTCTTCATGGGAGACAATCCTCCAGGCTCCCTGGCTCATGTTTCCTCAACAATGGATTCCACAGCTATAAATCCAGTGTGCAGCTAGAAGGTCACACCTT